GCATTCTCGCATGGTGCGCCCCTGGCACGCCACCGTGGTGATGACCCTGCCGTGCGAGAACGGAAAGCCCGTCCGGGTGACCTTGGAGGTGCGGAAGGCGAACGGCTCCGACGTGCGGGGCTCGATGAACACCAGCGGGCCCGTGAGGTCCTCGTCGTGGCGCTCGAGGTCATCCACGAAGGGCGCGCTCGCGTACTTATCCATGCGCACCCAGAACCCCAGCGGCAAGTGCTTTAGATAGATCCTCTTCTCCCCGTCTCTCTCGGCATCCGCCATGCGCCCGCAGCCACTGGGGCCTTCGGTGGAGCTCCCTATGGGGCCACGAAACGTGTGAGGGGTGTGCCGAAATGGGTGCGGTGCCGCCATGCGCCCGCAGCCACTGGGGCCTTCGGTGGAGCTCCCTATGGGACCACGAAGCGTGTGAGGGGTGTGCCGAAATGGGTGCGGTGCCGCCATGCGCCCGCAGCCACTGGGGCCTTCGGTAGAGCTGCCTATGGGGCCACGAAATGTGTGAGGGGTGTGCCGAAATGGGTGCGGTGCCGCCATGCGCCCGCAGCCACTGGGGCCTTCGGTGGAGCTCCCTATGGGGCCACGGAACGTGTGAGGGGTGTGCCGAAATGGGTGCGGTGCCGCCATGCGCCCGCAGCAACTTGGGCCCTCGGTGGAGCTCCCTATGGGGCCACGAAACGTGTGAGGGGTGTGCCGAAATGGGTGCGGTGACGAAGGAGGGGGCAGCGGAAGGAAGGGAGGAAGGAAGGAGTGGACGCGGGGCGCTGTCTCTTCAAAACGAGGACCCAACACCACAGGATGGTTGGGAAAAAAACAAGTATCCCGGCAAAACAACCCAACAGCGATGTGTATACGCATATCTGGAAGCAGTCCACTTAAGATTCAGGTGAGAATCCACTTGTATAATCATGATGTTCTCGCAGTCGCAGTCCCATTCGCAATGACAGTCGCAGTGGCAACGGCCTTAGGATCCAATGGAATCCTAAGGATTCCTAGGGACTCCTGAGGCATCCTTAGGCATCCTTAGGAATCCTTTGGAATCCTTAGCCTCAGCCTCATCAGCCTCAGCCTCAGCCTCACCCTGCCTCAGCCTCAGTCTCAGCCTGCCGCAGCCTCAGCCTGCCTCAGCCTCCTGAGCCTGCCTCGGCCTCAGCCTCAGCCTGCCTCAGCCTCAGCCTGCCTCAGCCTCAGCCTCAGCCTGTCTCAGCCTCAGCCTGCCTCAGCATCCGCCTCAGCCTCAGCCTCGGCTTGCCTCGGCCTCAGCCTCAGCTTGCCTCGGCCTCAGCCTCAGCCTCAGCCTCAGCCTCAGCCTCAGCCTCAGCCTGCTCAGCCTCAGCCTCAGCCTGCCTCAGCCGCAGCCTCAGCCTCAGCCTCAGCCTCCTCAGCCTCAGCCTCAGCCTCAGCAGCTGCCTCAGCCTCAGCAGTCAGCCTCAGCCTCAGCCTCAGCAGCCTCAGCCTCAGCCTCAGCCTCAGCCTCAGCCTCAGCTCAGCTCCTCAGCCTAAGCCTCAGCCTGCCTCCTCAGCCTGCTCAGCCTCAGCCTCGGCCTCAGCCTCAGCCGCAGCTTGCCTCAGGCCTCAGCCTCAGCCTCAGCCTGCCTCAGCTCAGCCTCAGCCTCAGCCTCAGCCTCAGCCTGCCTCAGCCTCAGCCTCAGCCTGCCTCAGCCTCAGCCTGAGCCTCAGCGCCTCAGCCTCAGCCTGCTCAGCCTCAGCCTGCAGCCTCAGCCTCAGCCTCAGCCTCAGCCTCAGCCCTGCCTCAGCCTCAGCCTCAGCCTCAGCCTCAGCCTCAGCCTGCCTCAGCCTCAGCCTCAGCCTGCCTCAGCCTCACCTGCCTGCCTCAGCCTCAGCCCTCAGCCTCAGCCTCAGCCTCAGCCTGCCTCCTCAGCCTGCCTCAGCCTCAGCCTCAGCCTCAGCCCTCAGCCTCAGCCTCAGCCTCAGCCTCGGCCTCAGCCTCAGCCTGCCTCAGCCTCAGCCTCAGCCTCAGCCTCAGCCCTCAGCCTCAGCCTCAGCCTCAGCCTGCCTCAGCCTCAGCCTGCCTCAGCCTCAGCCTGCATCAGCCTCAGCCTCAGCCTCAGCCTGCCTCAGCCGCAGCTTGCCTCAGCCTCAGCCACAGCCTCAGCCTCAGCCTCAGCCTGCCTCAGCTTCAGCCTCAGCCTCAGCCTCAGCTGGCCTCAGCCTCAGCCTCAGCCTCATCAGCCTCAGCCTCAGCCTGCCTCAGCCTCAGCCTCTCAACCTCAGCCTGCATCAGCCTCAGCCTCAGCCTCAGCCTGCCTCAGCCTCAGCCTCAGCCTGCCTCAGCCTCAGCCTGCCTCAGCCTCAACTTCAGCCTGCCTCGGCCTCAGCCTGCGTCAGCCTCAGCCTCAGCCTGCCTCAGCCTCAGCCTGCCTCAGCCTCAGCCTCAGCCTGCCTCGGCGTGCCTCAGCCTCAGCCTCAGCCTGCCTCGGCCTCAGCCTGCCTCAGCCTCAGCCTGCCTCAGCTCGGGCATTCAAAATATGGCACAGGCTTGGTGTTCTGGGAACACGAAGATCACGAAGTGGCCCACAGTTGGCTCAGGTAATCAAAATATGGTACAGACTGTTCTGGGAACACGAAAAACACGAAATTGCCTACAGTTGGCTCCGGGCATTCAAAATGTAGCCTGGGAATAGTGTTCTGGGAAGAAGAACACGAAGTGGACTACAGTTGGCTCCGGGCAATCGAAATATGGCCTGGGAATGGTGTTCTGGGAACACGAAGAACACGAAGTGGCCCACAGCTGGCTTCGGGCAATCGAAATGTGGCCTGGGAATAGTGTTCTGGGGACACGAAGAACACGAAGTGGCCTACAGATGGCTCCGGGCATTCAAAATGTGGCCTGGGAGTGATGTTCTGGGAACGGGTTCCTAACGATTCCTAAGAATTCCGAAGGATTCCTCTGGATTCCTGGGGCTGCCGGATCTGTGCGGATCTGTCTGGATCCCGCCCAGACCCCCCTGGGGCGTCAAGATGCTCTCTTTTGATCCCACTAGAAACCTATCAGCAAAAGCTGTTAGGTAACAACATACACTTGGCAACTAAAACTGGATCATACGCGGCCACCCCGCGATCACTGTTCATTGGTTGTTGATAAGGGCGGCCGGGGTGCTGGCATATTGCGTGCTGAGTGCAGGTCCACCAGACACCATGATGGCCTCCCCGCCGCGATGGTTTTCGACATGGATGGTGGGGGCCGACATGTTTTCCGATGTGTGCTGCCACGTGCGCGGGCGCACGTGGCATACTTTCCGCGTGCCCCGAACGTGGCGCACCTGACGCGGCTGGACCATGCGGCACACATGGCGCACGTGGAGCACGAGGCGCATTTGGCGTGCCTGGCACGCTTGGGCCCCAAGAGTGCCTGGCGCACCTAGCGCGCGCGGCGCGCCTGACGCGCGTGGCACACCTCGCCCAAGCGTCGTACACGAAGGGTCTGTTTTGGTTTCCACTAGCTGTCAATCCGTAGACGACCGCTGAACATGCTGACGGTCAGGTGCTACTTATGTGTTGGGACGGCGGGTGGGAGTGAGCGAGACAGCTTGCGGGCTTGGAGGCTGTCTTGTCCCCTGCCCCTACCCCCATACCCCTGGGTCTGGACGGGAGGGGCCGCGAGGCGTTAGAGCGTTTAAGAAGGCATCACCGAAAAGGGAATTAGCCTGGCAAAGGACCTAACCCTATCATATGCAGTTGTGAGTACCTTCGTTGTGCGCGTCGCCTCCGGTGAATCTTTTTACGGGGCCACGAGGCGTGTTGAGGTGGTGCCGACATGTGGCAGGCCGCCATGCAGGCGCCGCCACTGGGGCTTTCGAGTATCGCGAAGCAAATGAAATGAGGGAGGGGGACCAGCAACCTGACTGCGGCGTGGACGGGGGAGAAGCTGACGCTGGAGAGCGGGAAGTCTTCCTGGTTTGGCCAGGGCTCCGTCCGCCGCCGTTCCGTGCCCATGTTCTCACCAACTTGTTCCTTGCTTCTCTCGTGCACTGCGACCCTGCCCGCCAGGCGCCGCCGTTTTGTGCCCAACTCTTTCATCATTTGTCTCCCAGTTTTGTCCTCGCGCCCTGACGGCAACGGCTCCAGGCAGAGTGCAGCAAGCCTGCCACTGAGCCTTCCGTGGAGCGCCCTGTGGGGCCACGAAGCGACTGATGTGGTGTGCCGGCATCGACGTGCGGTGGGCGGGGAGCCGCATGCGAGCGCGGCCTCTGGGGCCTTTGGTGGCGCTCCCTTTTGGGCCTCGAAGCGTGTGAGGGGTGTGCCGACATGGACATGCGATGGGCGGGGGGCCGCATGCGAACGCGGCCTCGGGGGCCTTCGGAGGAGTTCCCTTTGAGGCCACGAAGCGGCTGAGGGATGTGCCGAACAGGTTGACACGCGGAGGGCAGAGGCAGGGATGGGAGGAGGAAGGAAGGCGGGGAAAAAATAAGGAGACGCGGGGACTGTCTCTTCAAAACGAAGACCCAACTCAACACAGGGTGGCTGGGAAACACGATGATTTGCCTCAGGTTTTGGGCCAATGTTGGCCTCCTGGGGGGGGGGGGGCTAGATAAGGACCCCTCTTGTTTCATCGATCGCCCCCAAATGACCCTAAGACGACACGAAAAGCCGTCAACAGAGTCCCGAGACGCCCCAAGGACGCCCCCAAGAGGCCCCAAGAGGCCTCCCAGAGCCAGCCAAGACGCTCCAAGAGGCCCCCCAAAGAGCTGGCAAGAGGCCCCAAAGTCGCCTCAAAATGCATCTGAGAGGCCTCCAAGAGATACCCCAACAGATCCAAGAAAGCATCCAAGGGGCTTCTGGCCCGCACAGGCCCCCGACACCTCCAAATGATGCCATGCTCCCGAGGTCAGCGCAGCCCCGCTGAGCATGGGCTGGTGGGGATACGCGAAGGCCGCCGAAGGGCCGCCGAAGGGCCGCCGATTGCTGCGCGGGGGCCGCCGAGGGACCGCCGAGGGGCCGCCGAGAGGGGCGACCTCCCCGCGGGGAGCCCCGTGAGGGTGGCGGGCTCGCCGCCGGCGGCGGCCGCGGAGGTGCCGCGGCGCGGCGGCGAGGGCGCCCCGTCCGGCGCGTCCTCGTCCGGCGAGTCCGGCAAGTCCTCGTCCCGGAGATGCTCTGTTGATGCTCCCCCCTGGGTCCGCCACCGCGCCCCCTCGCACGCGGAGGCGTGGAGGAATGCCAAGGTCTGTCCGGCAGGATCTGCTCACTTTCTGCGACGGGATCACGCGCCCACTCGAGGAATCACCGCCCAGAATGCTGAGGTGGCACGGCGGCGAGACTTGCAGCAGGCAGCTGGATCGTGTTTTGGGCGGGGGGACTCTGGGATCCGGGCGTTGTCACTCTTTCACACCAAGCGTTTTCACTGTGTTTCGGCGCATGGGACCCTCACAGATCGATCCGGCTCCAGATATGCCGCAGAAAGGTTAGTCGAGGGCTCCAGCCATGTTTTTCTCGCGACGTGGCATTTTTGCTTACAACCTCGGATCTCAGGGAAGGGGCAGGAGTTGGGAGGAGGAGTAGGAGGAGGAAGAGGAGGAGGACAAGGAGGAGAAGGAGGAGTATAATCAGAAGGAGGAGGAGGAGGAGAAGGAGGAGGAGGGAGCGTCCAAGCACGAGCTGCGAAACAGACAGCCCAAGTGCGAGAACGAGCTGCGTAACAGGCAGCCCACGTACGATAATTAGCTGCGCAACAGGTAGCCCAAGTATGAATACCACTACCATTACGCCACCAAGACCGACACCAGGGACGACACCACCGAGCAGCCCGTAGAGGTCACTAAGTACGTGGTCGTGGAGGTACCGGTGGACAACGGCCGCGCCGCCAACGACGAGTACGACTACGACCGCGCCGCCTACCACGAGTACGTCTACGACAGCTTTCCCGATAGCGACCTGTACTCCTACGACGACCACCAAGGTTACGATTTCTACCAGAACTGCAGGAGTACGACTCCGTGTGCAACCACGCCGCCAGGGATCACTGGTACAAAAGTCCAGGGAGGCCCAGGGGACCAAAAAGGCAGAGGAGGCCCGGGAGGCTCTGGAGAACAGGAAGGCCCAGGAGACGACTACAGAGCTACAAGGGCCACCAGTAGACCTACCAGGACTACTTGCCGAACTTCCTTTGGCAACAAGCAGAGCTTTGAGGGCCACCAGCTGAGCTGCGGGTACCACAAGCTGTACCAGGAGGGCCGCGCGCAGAGCGGCCGCCTGCCGTGCCACGAGAACCACCAGCTGAGCTGCGAGGACCACCTGCCGAACTGCGAGGACCATCAGTTCTGCTACGAGGACCACTGGCAGAATTAAGGACGCCACCCGCTGAGCTACCAACATGACCAGCTCAGCTACCACAGCCACCAGCTGGACTACGAGGGCCAGCTGATCTTCGAGGTCCGCAAGCTGGGCCAGGAGGGCCTCCAGCTAAATTACGAAGGCCACCAGCGGAGCTACGGAGACCACAAGCTGAGCTACGTAGAACACGTGCAGAGCAGCGAGGACCACCAGCAGAACTACCAGCGCCACCAGCTGAACTACAAGGTCCACGAGCAGGGCCTCGAGAGCCCCCGACACAGCTACGTGAATCACCGGCTGAACTACATGGGTAAGAAGCCGAGCTACGAGGGCCGCGATCAGGAATCCTAGAGCCCCGATGTGAGCTGGGAGGACCACACGCTGAGCTACGACAGCCACCAGTCGAGGTACCGGAGCCACCTGCCAAACTACGAGAGCCACCAGTTCAGCTACGAGGAAAGCCTGCTGAGCAACGTAGGCCACGAGCAGAGCTACGGGAGCCACCAGCGGGGCTACCAGCGCCACCGGCTGAGCTTCCAGGGCCACCTGCAGGGCTGCAGGGGCCACAAGCCGAGCTCCGAGGTCGGCACGCCGAGCTGCGCGGACCAGACGCCGGGCTACGAGACCACCAGCTGGACTACGAGGGCCATCAACAGAGCTACAAAGGCCACAAGCTGAGTTATGCGGGACACGAGCTGGGCAGCAAGGGCCTCCATTGGAGCTAACAGCGCCACCAGCTGAACTACGAGGTCCACGAGCGGAGCCTCTCGAGCCCCCGAGACAGCCACGAGGACCACGAGCCGAACCACGAGGGCATCAGGCCGAGCTACGAGAGCCGCGTGCAAGCGAGCAGGACGAGCCCGTCTTCATCATGCACGCCGCGCTCCAGGGGCTGGACTTCCTCAGGGCCATGATCGCCGAGGGGCTGGCAACCACGGAGGCCTCCGCCATCAGGGCCATACCCACAGGCACGAACCCCGCGTACAACACGCCCCACGGCATGCTGGTGCCCAGAGACGTGAGCGTTGGCCGCCACTGCGACGCGATGGTCGGCGCGCTGGGCCCTCCAGCAGCCATCAAAGAGGCTCCTGTCCGCCCGCGACTACTGCGAGGCGCACTGGAACCGAATACCTATGGGCCAGCGACCCCTGCACATCCTCGCCCAAGAACTTCTACGACGACGGGAGGAAGACGAGCGCGACGACGAGGACAACGAGAGCGACGTGGAGCAAGAGGAAAGTAGCGAGATGCACAGCACCTGACTCAAACGACGACGGAGGGAACGCTGAGCGCTACGACCTGGCAAGCGACGACTCTGGGGATTCATGGCGAGACCGGCCTGCATGAAGCCTGTGAAGACTACGAACCACTGCAGCACTCCGGACAATGGTATACTTGTACCCCTCACGCACAAATTGCTATGCCTACGAATTTAGCGCTGTAGGCGTTATTATAGACATCGTATAAATTACCGACAAGGTACTCCGCGTACTACGCTACCGGGCACGGCGCTACATCTTCGGTCTGTACTGCATCTACGGATGAGCGGTCCCGCCACCCCACCCACCTCCCCTGCTCTGGAACAGGTCCGCCGCCGCGTAGCCGTCGCGCCCCCGGGGCACGCCGCGGGCGGGGGGGTGATCTGGGTGACGCCCGATGGCGCTGCACAACATCATCCTGGCGAAGGACCCAACCAGATGTAGTTGTGAGTAACGCAGTTGTGAGAACCGTCTTCGGTGGAGCTTCCTCGGGGGCCACGAAACCTGTGAGGGGTGTGCCGAAACGGGGGTGACGCCCACATGTGAGCACTGCCACTGGGCCTTAGGTGGAGCCCCTTATGGGGCCACGAAGCGTGTGAGGGGTGTGCCGAAACGGGGGCGCCACCCACGTCTGAGCACGGCCACTGGCACCTTCGGTGGTGGAGCTACCTATCGGGCCACGAAACGCCTGAGGGGCGAGTCGAAAGAGGGGGGAACTGCGCCACTGGAGTCTTTCGGTGGGGCTTCCTGTGGGGCCACGAAACGCGTGAGGGGTGTGCCAAAAAGAAGGTGACACCCACATGCGAACAGTGCCACCGGGGTCTTAGGTGGAGCTCCCGATAGGGCCACGAGCCGTTTGAGGGGTGTGCCGAAACGGGGGTGACGCACACATGCGAACTGCGCCACTGGGGCCTTCAGGTGGAGCTACATATAGGGTCACGAAACGTGTGAGGGTTGTGCCAAAAATGAGCGGCGCCGCCTTGCGGGCGGCGCCACGGGGACCTGAGGTGGAGCTCCCGGCAGCAATGAGAGACCACGTAGTTGACGCTGCCGGCGCTGCCGTCTGTGCAGCGGTCGCAGGCCGTGCCAATGCCGCTGTCGGCGCGGCCGTGGGAGACCCTGTTCGGGCAGCAGTCGGTGTCGCAGTTGGAGCGCCCAATGGTGCAACCCTCGAGGCAGCAGTCGGCGAACTTGTCGACGCAGCGGATGGTGCTGCGGTAAATACTGCTGTCGAATATTGCTGTCTGTGCAGCCGTTGTGGCAGAAGTCGGTGAAACTTGTCGGTGACCTGGTCGGTGACTCCGTCGGTGCGGCCGTCTGGGCAGCAGTCCGAAACATGTCGGTGTCGCTGCTGGCGCGGCTGTCGGAGACCCTGTCGGGGCAGCACTCGGTGTGCCAGTTGTAGCGCCCGTTGGTGCAGCCCTTGGGGTAGCGCTCGGCGAATTTGTCGATGCCGCTGTTGGTGCCGCTGTGGGTGCTGCCGTTGGTGCAGCCGTCGAGGCAACAGTCGGTGAGCTTGTCGGTGTCGCTGTTAGTGCAGCCGTCGGTGCAGCATTCGGTGAACTTGTTTGTGCCGCTGTCGTTGCTGTTGTGGGCGCGCCTGTCGCCGCAGCCGTCGGGCAGCACGCGGTGAAGTCGGTGAACTTGTCGGTGCCGCTGTCGATGCTGCTGTGGGCGTGCCCGTTGGTGTTAGTAATGGTGCCATTGGTACAGTTCTGCAACTGGTTCTGGAACATATTGTAATAACTTACGTTGTTCTCGCCGGTGACCGTGCACCGGCTGATCTCGCCGCACCCTCTCGTTCTGGAAATGGAAAAGGCCTGAACCCACGTTTTGGAGCGAGAGGGGATCGAAGCGAATGTATTTTCATGCTCTCGACCGTAGTGTGCATGGCGGCGCCGCCACAGAACTACCTCTGTGACGGGGGATCAAGTCGTATGGTAAGCATCCCCTGCTGCGCGCTTGCCCGCGCCACGTATGCACTACAAAACAAATATGAGACAAACCTCTATGGACGGTGCTGCTGCGAAGAGGCAGCAGCAGCAGCAGAGGACAAGTTCATGTACGTCTGCTTGCCCTTCAACCAAGGCGAGCACATCCGCATAACATGGATCGAGGCGCCACCCAACCCCAGGACATGGACACCGACGGGCAACTGGGCGTGGGGCGCGCGGGCCCAGGACGAAGCGACGCACTAGGCGCATGAACAAGGAGAGGACCCCGCGCCACCGCGCCACAGCGCTGAGGGAATAGACCCAAGCCGCATGATCAAGTTCGAGGCTTACGTCACTAACATCACAGACGCTATTGCCGAACTACGCTTCACCATGGACACGGAAGACTTGGACAAGTACCACAGGGCAGCATGCGGCATCATGTACCGCAGCATCTACTACGAGAGGACCAAACACCGTCGGACCTGCCAGAAGAAGTCCAACAGCAGCCCGGCTGGACACTGGGTCTAGCGACGGCAGCCATGACCAATATCTCTAATCCTACCAATTCGCCTCAACCTACCGACGCTGCCTCCACACTCCGTAATCCCATTCAAGGAAGTGTGGCCACCGAGCGCAGGGAACAGCTGCACCTGCATCGACGCCCTCAGCACAGCTCGGCAGCTCCGAACCCCTGCCTTATGCTGAGGGCAGCCTCACCATGAGGATCACAGACATCCATGCCACATCTCCCAGCGTCGCCTCTCCAGCTGTTGCCGCCCACGTGGGGCACAGCCCTCCCATGCCCCCACCAATTTTGCCCCAACGACTGCACGACGACGACCAAACTGGCTACCACCTGCTCCGACTCCCGCAATACTCCGACTCGCCCAACCTCCGCACTAACTACGGCAGCAGCAGCAGCAGCACGGCGGCAGCAGCACCAGCTATTACGCGACAGGCAGCGACAGCACCCACCATCACTACCCAGGCGGGAATGGCGCATTCCAAAACTCGTACCGACCCATGCCTCCTCCAAGGTATGTCCTCAACACACCGCCAGCCGACAGCCTCCCACGCCGACTACCACAACGGCATCTCCTCGTACTGCTGGTACCGTATATAATACCACCTCACGGACTCATTGGATTTTGGGGACCCCCTGTCTTACCACCTCGAAGGCGCCTCAAGGATCAACTGACCTTCCCCTCCCAACCCTCTTCTTCCTACTGCCACTCCCCCCCCGCTTTTCGCCTGCTAACCTCCTCCACCCCACCCCAAGTGCACCAGCCGCTACCCTGAGAGGGGGACGTGTGGGGAGAGCACGGCTGGGAGGGGAAAGCCAACAGGGCCGTGCTTGGCACGGGCCGCCACGGGGGGGGGGGCGCTACAGCCCCCATGGCGGCCGTGGACCAGACGGCCGCAGTCACCTAAGGGCCAGGCCGAGGAGGCTCTCACTTCCCCGCCTCGGGGGGGGGGGGGGCCGCTCGGGCCACCTCCTCCACCTGCCTGCCCACTTTACGCCCACCCCTTACGCTTTCCCTCCCTCCACCCCGGCAGCCGCTCACGCTGGGGCGCCTTGGTAGCTACCGCCACGCGCTTCGGTGCCCTCCTCCTCCCCCACCCCCCGCACTGCCCGCTCCTGCCGCGCAGCTGCCGCGCCGCACCGCACCCGGGACGCCCACCTCCCCCCCCCATGCCCCTCGTCGAGGACGGGAGGGCCCCGCTCCAGGAGAGGCATGCCGAGGTGAGCCTCAGCTCCCCTCCAGAGGGGGCTGGGGCTCACGCTCGGGCCCCTTCCGCACGCGCGCGCCGCCACGGCGCGCTGCCTCCCCTTCCGTCCCTCGTGGCCTCCAGGTGCATCGTGCTGTTCGGCCCCCTCCTCTCTCCCACTACCCCTTGGCTTTTGCTTGCCGGTCCCCCTGGCGCTGGCCAGGGGGAGGGGTCGAGGGCGCCAGCAGCATAGCAACAAAACCGTCCGCAGGTCCGAGGTCCAAGGAGGAGGAGGAGGAGGAGGAGGAGAAGGAGGAGGAGGAAGAGCAGGAGGAGGAGGAGGGAGAGAACGAGGAGAAGAATCACAGAAAAGAGACTGGAGCGTAGGACGTAGGAGGGGAGGTGGGGGAAGACGGAAGAGGGATGAGAAGAAGGATCCAGGAGGAAGGAGGAGGAGCCAAGAGGGAGAGCACCGTGAGGAGGATGAGGGCCAGAGAAGAAGAACCGAGGATTGGGAGGAGGAGAAGGAGGGTAATCTGCGGAGGAAGGGGGACGGGGAGGAAGAAAGCTCTGGGCAGAGGGCGGGGGGAGGACGACTCAGGGTCCAAGGTTGAACCGACGATGGATGGTCCGACCGAGCGAGCGAAGCAAAGCTGCCGCCGCCAGGAGAGGCCGGCGCCCCGGAGAGACAAGCGGGCGCAGGCAGGCCCTCTGCCGCTGAGTGCGGGAGCCCCCCGGCCAGCGCCAAACATCTGCGGGTGTCTCCCATGCCATCCTCCTGGCTCCTGCGAATCCACGCTGGCCGACGCCAATCGGCGCTCATCGACGCTCATCGACGCCACACCGACGCTGATCGAGGCTAAGTCGGCGCGCTCTCATAGATTGCCTGACGCTGGCGCGCGGTGATACACCCTAGATAAGAACTGAGGCCATGCAGAACTCCCTTGAGCTGCCAGCGAAGCAAATAAGCTGTAGAGACTGTTGCCCACTTCTCTGCCACGATGAGCCAGCCGAAGGGCCACCAGTGTCAAAGGCACGCGATGGCGCAAGAAGGAGAGGGGATGGGTGGCTGCTCCTGCTCCTGCTCTTGATCCTGCTCCTCCTCCTCAACATCCTCCTCCTTCGCATCCTCCTCCTCCTCATCATCAGCATCATCAGCATCATCGTCATCAGCAGCAACATCATCATAATCATCATCAGCATCAGCGTCATCACCGACATCATCAGCATCATCATCATCATCATCATCATCATCATCAGCATCATCATCATCATCATCATCATCATCATCATCATCATCATCATCATCATCACCATCATCCTCATCCTCATCCTCATCCTCATCCTCATCATCATGATCACGATCCTCATCATCATCAGCAGCAGCAACATAATCATCAGCATAATCACTATCATTGGTGATTCTTGAATGCGCCAAGGACTTTTTTTTTTTTGGTTTTAGCTCGGAGTGTTGGAAATCATGTGCGTCGCGCTTTTAGGTCCCAACAAGAAACCAAAACAAACGCTAAACACACAATTCGCTTTTTTTCTTGCGAGTTCAACAATTTTCTAGCGTTTCCAAATCAGTTGTTTGCATTGTTTAGCATTACTGCGACCACCAGAGCTGGCAGGCCTGATGACATCGGGCCCCCCCGGCCTGTTGCGGGCCGGCCTTAGACCGTTGTTACAGCGTGTGTCTAGGCAGTTTTAGCTCTGAGAGGGAGAACGGCGGCAAACACGAAACAGGAGCGAAGACAGAAGGGAAGACAAGGAACAGCCTTCGACCAGAAAGCAAAAAACACGAAAACAATGGTGATCCACAGCGACGGGCCTAAAAACGCTAAAATACTTAGATAAAAACGCTAAAACACCGTCGCGCTGTTTTAGAGTTGTGAGCTTCTCAAGAGCCCACAGTGCAAAACTGTAAAACAACGCCATGGGCGTTTTTAGAAGAACCAAGTTATTGTCGTGATCGCCATCATCGTCAATACGATTAGCATTACCATCAGCATCGTCATCCTCACCACTACCACTATCATCATCATCATCAGCAGCATCAGCATCAACATCATCATCATCATCATCATCATCATCATCATCATCATCAGCTGCAGCACCACCATCATCATCATCATCATCATCATCATCAGCATCATCATCATCATCATCATCACCATAAGCTGCATCCTCGCCATCGTAATCAGCACTATCATCATCACCATCCCCCCACCAACATCATAAGCATCAACATGACCACCATCATCATTATTCCCATCATCATCATCATCAGCATCATCAGCAGCATCATAATCAGCATCTGCATCATCAGCATCGTCGCGATCATCATCGTAATCATCAGTTTCTTCGCCACCGCCACCACTATCATTATTATCCGCATCGTTTTCCTTACCAACATTGTCACCATCGCCACCATTACTCTCATAGTCCTCATCATCATCGCCGCTATTATCAACAACAACAGCCCCATCAGCGCCGTAAGCATCGTTGTCAAAACCTGATCGCACTCAATATCCGAATCATCATCGTCACAACCATCGTCGCCATCTACCGTCATCAGCACCGTTATCTGCCCTACCATCGTCAGAATCATCATCACCTGCTTCAGCATCTGAACTACCATCATCCACCTCATCTACTTCAGCCTAGCCCACTTCACCTGCCTCATCCAATTCATCATCCGCCTCGTCCACCTGCATCACCTCCTCTCCCGTCCCCTCCTCAGTCGGGGACGCGCAAGCCCAGGCCAGCCAGGGCCACGTCGCGGATCCCCGGCGACCGCGAAGCAGCTCCCAAGCCCCAGTCAGCGGAGGGAGAGGAGGTGGGGTCGCCTCCACGTAAGGGACTAAAATGCACGGGCCTAACGCAAGATGACGCAGCGACCTTACGCGGTGGCTCACGACGGCCGCCAGCGTGGCACGCTGCATTGAAAACGAGGGCGCTCACGCGCGACCTCAAGGGGGCAGCTTGCGCGCAGATGTTGGGGCAAGCGACGCCATTTTTCTGGCCTCGCTCACGTGGCTCCCAAACCAGGGCCACCCAGGGGAGGCTCGATGGGGGCTGGCCGACACCTGGTAGCGCTGAGCCCCGCTCACCCAGACCCCCGAAGCCATGATTTTTCGCAGCATCGTCTGGGGAGTCCGAGAGGGGGACGTCCAAGTGGGGGGGTCGCAAGTCATGGCCCGAGGCATATGTGCGGCCTAGGGGGGGGCCAGAGGACGCATTGAAATTGGAAGAGGGGGCCATGAGATCTGGGAAGAGACCATGGCCCCGGCCATGATATCCCCCCCCCCCTAGACCCCCCCTTGGCCGCTCCAGAATCTCGACCAATTCCCCAGGGCCAACTTTTCATCCCGGGCAGTGCTTTTGACCGCCCCGGGCAAACTTTTCATCCCGGGCAACTTGCATCCTCGGGCCTGTCCCCCTACAGGGGATTTTTGGAGAAAAAATATAAGCAGTCAAAAAATATCCCCAAAATGCTCAAAAATGGTCAAGAATCATCCCCTGACAATTGTTTTACTATTTTTGAACTGTCCTCCTGTAGAGGGACAGGCCCGACTTAAACCCAGGGAGGGACCCCAGAGGCCGAAACTGGCCGAACGCCGTCCGTCATGTTTCCGTTCACGACGCGAGGGGTCTGGTTGCATGCGCCCCGACTCATCCCAGCTCCTGGCTGCCAGCGCCGTAGGCGGAGGTCTCGTAGCGCAGGGCCTGGACCAGCTGCAGCAGGTACAGCTGGACCTCGTCATCGGTGGCGTCCTCCAGGCGGCGCACCGCATGCCGCCGGACCTGGGGCACGCCCCGGAAGTCCTTGCTGAGGAGCTCCAGCGCGTCGTCGATGTCCACCTCGACAGCAGGCACAAGCGACAAGAGGAGGAGGAGGAGGAGGAGGAGGAGGAGAAGGAGGAGGCGGAGCGTACCCAGACGAGAGGGAGGAGGAGGACGAGGGGGGGGAAGAGGAGGAGGACGAGGAGGAGAAGGAGGAGGAGGAAGAGGAGGAGACGGAGGAGGAGGAGGAGGAGGAGGAGGAGGAGGAGAAGGAGGAGCAGGAGGGTGAGGAGGGGGAGGAGGGAGGAGGGGGAGGAGGAGGAGGAAGAGGAGAGGGACAAGGAGGAGAAGATGGAGGAGGAGAGTCTCGCTGTAAGAGCTCTTTGGGCACACTCCTCGTCGATCCTTGAGGGACATAAGGTGCCCCAGAGCTCCTGTGGGTCCCTGGGGCCAGCGCGGGATGAAAAGATTCCGTGGCGCACCTGTTGACCCACCCCTAGGAGAGCAAACAGAAGCTGCATTGACAGAAACGTTCAGAGATCTGCGCGGATTTCTCAGGTCGGCGCTATACCCGCCCATGGCGAAGCCTCTGTCGCAGCCCTGGCGCGGCGCGCTTCGCGCGCCAGAGGAGGCGGACCTCCGGACAGAATGGTGGTGCAGCTTTTGTGTTGTTGCGGTCGGGAACTATTTCACAGCGTGTCACGGCTGCGGCGCCAGCGACGTGCTATTCCGTGCGAGTGGGTAGCGTGTCGCTCCGCTCCGGAAGGCGGGAGGCAGGGAAGGGCTCGGAGCGTTGATGCCTGGGGGCCAGGAAGAGGATTGCGTGTTGCGCCGAAGCGTGGCGGGCCAGAACCAGCGATGCGATACGCTGACTAATACAAGTTCCGACCGTGTCCCTTCGAGCCTTGCTCCAGTGCCCCAGCAGCTCTATGGCGTGCTGCCTCTCCTCGAGGTCGCTCCAGTCCACCGCGTGCAAGAACTTCGTCAGCGCCGCCGGCTGCTCTGTGAGGGTCCACCGGAAGCGGAAGATGAGATGCTTCTCCTCCCGCGAAATGCAGCATCGAATCGAAACATTGAACCGAATCGCAGGCAGCATCGAATCGGCATGCATCGGGTGGACACCGACTAGAATCGGAATCGAAATACCAGGGCTCTGAATCGAATCGAATCGGAATCGAAATGGCATCTTTTGTACATCGGCAGCCACGGAGGATTTCTTCTCCTGGGACAACGAGATCTATACAAATCCGCCGCCGCTGGCTGGACCAGCGGCGATGGAGATGTACAGATCTTGTCGCCCTATCTCCTCCGCGCTGAACTGCCGCCTCGGCCGCCGGACGAGCTCGGTCAGGCGCCGCAGCTCGTCCGTGTTGGGGCGCGCATCGCGGTCCTTCACCCTGGCAGGAGCGGCCAGCACCGAATCGGGCAACCGCATCGAGTCGGACTGTGCGCCGCATCGGGCATGGCATCGGCACCGGGGATCGAGATCGAACCGCATCGGCTGCCACTGGATACGCAACTGCGCCGTGCAAGCATTGGGCCGTGTCGGATCGCCGGGAGATCGAAATCGGAGATTCGACCGGACCGAAGCTGCAGCCGGCATCAAGCATGGCCCCCTGCCTGGAGGCGCGCGAAGACCGCGCGAGCCGGAGGCTCTTCAGCACCGCCGGGTGCTCGCAGGCGGCGTCGTGGTCCACGAAGGGCTTGAAGCACCGCCCGCCCTCGGAGCGCAGGGGCTGCAGGAGCCACCAGGCTCCCCGCAGGGGGGCCTCCTGCAGAGGAGCAATAAACGGCAGGGTCATGAGTCCTCGCATCTCCGCGCGGATGTCTCGGATCGGCGCTGGACCTCCCTCCCTGGCGCGGGGAGCGCGCCACCTTTCGCTGCCAGGGAGCGCCGCCTCCCCCTCCTGGCGCGCTCCACGCGCTGGGGAGGGGGGCCCAGTGCCGAGCCAAGACATCCGCGCGGACCTCCGAGCGATTATGCTCACTCATGCCGTGTTGTCGGAGTGAGGGGGCCGCACGGTTATTCTGGCCCCTGGGTGGGTGGTAACATCGGAGTTCTGTCTGGCGGATTATGCTTGTTGTCGTCGGCCCCGCCCGCGACCCGCCCCGCGACCCACCCCGCGACCCACCCGCGACCCCACCCTCGACTCGCCCGCGACCCACCCGCGACCCCACCCGCGACCCCACCCGCGACCCACCTGCAACCCACCCGCGACACAGCTCGCGTCCAGCAGCTGCTGGGTGCTGCGCCACTCCTCGATCCTGGGCGACGGCGGCCGCCGCGGCGCCCTCCCCGTCCACGGCGGCGGCCGCCAGCACGCCCGCGGGCACGAGCTGCCCCAGCTCCGCGGTGCGGGCGCCGCCCTCGAACTGCCCCGCCTCCGCGGCCCTGTTTGAGCAGGGACCGACCGCCCCAGCATCCCGATTGGCGTACCACGACAATATTTCTAACATTCAAGATCTCCCCAAGAACAGAGAGATCTGAGAACGCAGAACAGACGGGTAAACACACGACAGTCTCAGCCAGGAATGCTCTGACAACATGTCGAGAAGACCCCAAAAGGTCCTTACGACATTGTGAACATTGTTTGCTGGGCCTATGAGCAAGCCCGGGCGCTTCGCGACTGCTTGACCTGTCGTACAGGGGCTCGGCGAAGAGCACCGGGTGCCCGAACACTGGCAGGCGGATGCTCAGCCAGGGCAGGCCCGCTGCCTCGATGGCGTCCTTCAGCATCGTTCAACCCCATCCCAGTCCCCAACGGGCCACCATCTCACTACCCAAGTTGGGGACACGCCCCTCGAAACCCGAGGGGAACAGCCTATATCCCCATCTGGGGAGCAAATCGGCCAGTGGGGCCCAGGCCACGCCAGTGGGGATAGGGATCGGAGAAACGACGCCCAGTCCTGCGCGGCGCGCGTGAAGTGCTCCTCGCTGCCCTCGAAGCCAGGGGCGGCCGGCGGCAGCGCCCCGCGCGCGTGCAGGTCCGACGCGGCCGCCAGCCGCACGGCCTCCCGCAGCGTCTCTGGCGCGGACCGGAGCAGCACGTCGTTCGAGTGCTCCGCCCAGTCCGCCTGCGCGGGGGCGGCGCGCGGGGGCGCGTGGCCACCCTCGGCGGCGTGGGCGCCCGCGGCGGCGTCGGCGCCGCCGTCGCAGCGCAGCAGCGCCAGCAGCTGCCTGCCCTGCCGGAGCACCGCTCGGCGGTTGAACAGCGGCAGCGTGCCGCGGTACACGCAAGGCGGCGTGGCCGCCGACCGCAGCCGCACCACGAGCGAGCAGCGCTGCGGCAGGTCCCGCACCCGGATGGCGAAGGTGCAATGCTGCGGGCGGAAGAGGCCCTGCTCGGGCGACGCGTCGAACGCCACCTGGGCGACGAGAAGGAAGGGGTCTTGCGCGAAAGGGCATAGCGGCCCTGGGCCGCGGCTGACGCGGGCCGCCAGCGTGGCACACGGCGTGGCGGAGAGGGCGCCCACGCGCGACCTTACGCGGGAGGTCTACGCGCGAGCGTCGGCGCGGTCGACCCCGTGTCCCTAGCATGGGGGAAGCGGGTCCTGCTGGACACGGATCCTGGACCCTGTGGCCTTCCCCCAGGACTCCACCTCCTCCTCCTCCTCCTCCTCCTCCTCCTCCTCCTCCTCCTCCTCCTCCTCCTCCTCCTCCTCGGCCCCAGGACTGGTTTTTCATCCTGAGTCGCTCTCTGACAGTCCCGGGGCTTTTGGAGGACCCCGAGAGCCCGAAGATAACGAAAAACCTCAGGACCCGTTTCCCTCAAGGCCCGTTCCCCTCACGGCGACTTTCTTCTGTCGCCCACCTGGGAGGACCGCACGGTCCGGAAGACGGCCCCGTCCAGCACCAGGTCAACCTCGATGTCGAGGGGTTCGTCTCCGATGAGCTCCTCCGCCCTCGAGGCTGGGAGGAGCCTGTCGATCTTGCAGCGCACGAGCACGCTGAGGTCTGCGCTGAACGCGAACTTGCACACCTCGAAGAACAAAAAACGGCATAGACATAAACTGCTGGAGCTCCGCGCGAATGTCCTGGAACGGCGCTGGGCCCCCTGGCGGCGGCGCCTCCGGCGTCGCCCCTGGCGCGCTCCGCGCGCCAGGGAGGGGGGGCCCAGCGCCGATCCAGGGCAAAAGGTGATGTTCATGCCGTTTTTGGTCCCTCGAACACCCCCGGCGCCGGTCGAGAGGCCATGCTGAGCACGCGGGACGGAGGTCCGCTCGCGATTGCCGCACATCTGTCCGAGGCTCTCGACCAATGTCCCGCACCCTTGAGCCAGAAGGATCGTGTGCAGTGCCTCCCGAGTGGGGTCCGAGGAGACGGGGTCGGAGCATCGCGCCGCACCGCTGGCGCATCGCCGATGCATCGGCGATGTCGGCGCGGAAAAAGTCGGGCTCCACCTCGAGCCGCATCGCCGATGCGCATGCGTCCCTGCGCGCGTGGGGAAGGCGGGGGAGCGTCTCCGCCGGGTGAGCAGGAGTTCGAGGTCGTCGCGGCCACGAGGACTCGGTCCGACGCGGCGGCGCGCGCCCGGTCCGCCGCGGCCGAGCTCAAGCCCAGGGTTGGCAGCGTCCTCGCCCGGCGCCTGCCCGCGATCTGGCGATGCGGCGCGATTATCCCATCCACTCGGATCCCACTGGGGATGCCTGGATCTTCCGAAGGGCTCGACGACTGTCCTCCAATCGAGTTGCGGGGATCAAGCCAGAATATTAAGGCATGGGAGCTCCACGCATCCTCTGCAATCCTTCTTAGATTGAGGCACATCCGGAGACATCCAAGCAACTCTGTAGAAAAATCGTGGACGCTCCCGCGCGAGTCGAGGGACAACAGAAGTCCTCAAGCCCTTAACGAGGAGTGGCACAGAGGGATTACAGAAATTGAGCAGGACCGACCGTCCAAGCATCCCAATAGGCCTGCCTGAGACGTTCTCATAACAAAAGAATGTCCGATTAACGAAAGCACTGTTCTTATGACATACAATTAATGTACGAGAAAACAACAGTCTCAGCCAGAAATGCTCTGAGAACATCTCGTGCGAACCACAAAAGGCTCTCAGAACATTCTTTGGTTGGCCTATAGGCAAGCCGGCACGCCTCCCCACTACTTGAAGAACGGGGCGGTGCCGAGGGAGACGAGCGAGAGGGAGGAGCACTCCCTTGACCTCTTCTGGGGTGCGTTCTGACCAGGGTTTCGAGGCGAATCCAGCGGTGGCGACGAGGGCTTCCCAAGATACCCCAAAAAGATGCAAACGAGGGCAGGGGTAGCGGTAGAGATACCCATTCCTATTCTGAATAGTGGTAAGACGCCACACCGTCGGCTGCCCGGATCTGCGGCGCACGCTGTGCGTTGGGCGCGAGGTTCGTGCTGAAGGGCCTGTTTTCCACCACCACTATAAGTTGGAGAGGGGAAGGAGGAGGAAGAGACAGAGGAGGAGGAGGAGGAGGAGGAGGAGGAGGAGGAGGAGGAGGAGGAGAAGGAAAACCTCCTCCCCTTCCAACTTATGGTGGTGGTGGTGGAAAACAGGCCCATCACGCGCGGCGTCGGCGCGCGCAAAAAAAGGCTTCCTGACACCGCGTCGACCGTTCCACCTTGAACCGATCGTGGCCCCGATCGTTCAAGGATGAATTCCGTCGGGTCGTGTGGCGTCACCGTGCCCTTGGTGCTTCTGCGTCGCCCTGCCATGCGGAGCTCCGGCGTCGCTGGCGCTCCATCGCCGCACGAACCTACCGTAAAAGTGCCAGCTTTTGGAGCCCACGGGGCCCCCTGGGCCTCGTGAGGGGTGCTCTGGAGGCCGCGGAGCCTCCCTGGAAATCCTGGGGATACATTGGGCTGAAGGCACTCCCAGCAACACCCGAACTGGTCAGAGGCGTTTCTTGGGAGTCCTGGAACGGTGCGGTGGCAGACCGCGCGGTGACCTCGGAATCCCAACAGAACTCACCGCACGGTCCGTCACCGCACCGTTCTGGGACCCCAGAGCCCCCAGTCGGCCGAGACATCCTCGGAGACGAGCCCAAGTCCCAAAGCCGTGCGGTCACCCCGAAACCCCACTGACTCACCACACGATGTGGTCACCACACTATTGGGGGATCTCCGAGTTTCCCCTTCATTCTCCCGTCATCCTTGTCTCGTGCGCGGGGACTGGGTCGGAGGAAAGGGGGGAACAGCAATGGGGGGGGTAAGGAACCAGCTGCGTGCAACTGGGTTTCCCAGCGGCCCCTGGCGCTGGTGGCGGTCATGTGTCGAGGAAAGGCGCACGGCGGCGGGGCCAAAAACAGCTGCGTGCGGCAGATGTCGTACCCCCTCGAGTCCGCCCCGAGACGAGGAGCACGAGCAAGAGAACGGCAGACGCGGAGGAGAATGAATAAGCGAATGCGTTTTGTGACCCATGTTGTCACCAGTTGATCTACACGTATATACACATGTACACAAAACGCCCATACATCTATGCATACACACGAGTGCGGTCGCCCCATTTGTTATACCCCTTTTTCCAATGTATGTTATGGATGCGGTGCAGCGCATTGCGCCACAATGCGCTGCGCTGCTGTGGGTCACGATGAATCCCACCAGCCTTCTGGGCGTCCGTCTCGCGTGCCTCGGTGATCCAGCAAGCAAGGGGTAAGCATGGCGACAACCGCCCCGACTCTGCGGGAGCTCCAGCAGGGCAAAAAACATGATACCAACTTGGGGATATACAGTGGGGGCGCCCATCCTCGATATGGGAGGTAGAGAAACACAAACAGCGGCAGCAACACACACATTCGGAGGTCCGCTCGTATTTCTCAGCTCGGCGCTGGACCCCCCCCTGGCGCGAAGAGGGCGGGGGGCGGACAGTATGTGCTTATGCTGATTGTTCTTCTTCGAGAATAAATCCTGGCAGAAGTATGCCCTGGCAAAATATATCCTGGCAGACAACAACCACAATCCGACACCAACAGCAGCAACAACAGCAACAACAACAGACGCCGTCAGGCTTCCTCGCCCCCATGGGTGGAAGAAGTGGGTAGAAGCATGCAGTAGGAAGGCGTTGAAGTGGATTGGATCTCCGCCCGCCCACCTGAAGAGGAGGTAAGAGGGAGCACCACTCGATCCTTGTAATAGGAAGGCGCCTGAAATACACTAGAATCTGGGGATCCAAGAATACCCAGTGCCAACGACCAATGTCCATATCTGCCCCGCAAAGTCTATCGCAGGCTTCTCGTGCAACGCGTCGGCGCCCCCCAGTCCCGAGCCCAAATTCCAACGTTCACGCCAGAGCTGGTGACCCCAGACTCTTCCTCGGAGCCCGCAAGCCCTGCTGCGCACGGCACCGAACACCGAGCTCTGCCCCCCTCCGTGTCCGTGTCCTCGCCGTCCTCCGAGGGATGACGAGGTGTTCCGAGCTGAGGCTCGGGAGCGCAGCCGTCCACTGCAACCTGCTGGACGGCCCCCGTGGGAACAATGAGACTCGGGGGCCGTTCTTTTTCAGGAGGGAAAAAACACACAGACACAATGAATCGTCGATTCCCCGGAAGATATGGGAAAACATAGGAAGTGGAGCGAAGACAAAAACTCAGAACATATACGAAATACAGGGGAATCCTGATATTTGTGTCTATCTATTAGTGTGTCCCAGGGCCCCTTCACTATTTCGCGAAGGGTTGCAGTTCTGCCGTGCTGGGGCTCCCTGCGTCGCCGCAGCGCAGCTCTTGCATCACAGGCGGTCGGGCTGCGCAGGCTGCATGCCGCGCAGCGACTTTGAGGAGGGGGAGGGCGACGACGAAGCGGAGGGCGAGAAAGAGAAGGCAGGACGAGGAGGGAGGACGAATAGGGAGGGAGGAGGACGAGGAGAGAGGGAGGACGACGGCGAGGAGGAGGAGGAGGACGAGAAGAGATGGAGGGAAAGAGGCAGGACGAGGCGAGGAGGAACAGGAGAAGGGAGGGGGAGCGGAGAGAAGAGGGAGCTGATCCCCCCAATTCCGCCCAGAAGCGGCCCCTGGACCTCTCCCGGCGTCAGCCCAAGCAGGTTTTTCGAGCCGCGCCTGGACGCGGCGACGAGAACATCCAGAAGTGCCCGACAGCTCCCGAAGCGATGACGACGACCTTTTTTCGAGGCGAGCCTTCGTGGCGAACGACCACCACGACGCCGACCTTCGAGGGCCCCCCCCCTGCAGGTGCTGGCCCCTGCACGGCCGCGCTGGGGACTTCCAGGGAGGGCTGATCCGATATTAGCAGCAATCGTGTGTGAGTTTTAGGTCGGGCCTGTCCCACTACAGGGGTTTGGACGGAGAAGTCGCGTCGAGGCTGGGCCCGCGCTAACGCAGGGCACAACCGTCGACTGGCGCAGGCCCAGGCCAGGCGGTGGGGCGAGCGCGAGTCGGCGTCGCGGAGCCGAGCAACCTCGCCGACGCCTCCCCCAAGCCTGGCGCTGGGTCAGCCCAGCCTCGACACAACTAGCAGCCACTGCGACGCCAGTGCGCTCGCGCAGCAGGGTCGGGCGGGTGGGGAAAAACGCATCCCGCCAGCGGGACGGCCACGCGTGAGACAAATCCCATTCACCTGCGACGAGAACGCGCTCGCGGGCGCGCAGGGTGGGGATCCGCCTCAGCCGTGAATAGCCGTCCCGCAGCATTAGAGACAAGCAAGAAGATAGCCAATAGGGGCCACGACGCTCGCGCGACTTCTCCCCGCGCTCAAATGCTGCCCAGAGCGCCCATGAGAAGTCGCGTCGAGGCTGGGCCCGCGCTAACGCAGGGCACAACCGTCGACTGGCGCAGGCCCAGGCCAGGCGGTGGGGTGAGCGCGAGTCGGCGTCGCGGAGCCGAGCAACCTCGCCGACGCCTCCCGATGCATGCTCGGCGGAACGACGCCCAAGCGCGCTCTAAGCAGACCGCAGATGCCTGGTCTGCTTGACTCACGGCCTGGGCGGCCCCTGCACCGCTTCCGCGGCGATCGGCGCGTCCTGCGCGCCACGCGCCGCCGCGGAGCCCCGACCCCGATGCCTGCAGGGCGGCGCCTCGTCGGAATCGGAGTGCGCGATCTCGGCTTCTGCCGCCAGCACCATGGCTCGCGTCTTTGCGGCCGGGTACCTGTGCGCCGCCAAGCGCCGCGCCCTCGCGACCCAGGCAGCGCGGCCGTGCCCCCTGTCGGAATGGAGTGCCCGAACGCGGCCACAGATCTCCAACCCCCTTCGAAGAACAGCGCTGCTGGCCCCCCGGTGCGGAGTGCCTGTGTGCGAGAGACACGAACTGCGCGCGGGCCCTGGGTAGGCAGGGGACGGCAAGGGGAGCCCATGCCTGGTCGGCC